ATCACGGAGGACTTTGCGATGACGCTTAGCGCCTCCTTTACCAAGTCCTTTTCCTCCCTTTCCGCGTCCGCTCATGTTGTCAGCTCAACTTTACAGCTCAAAGATGTGAAAAGACAGCGGAAAAGGTCCCTATTTATGTATGAGTTGCGGACCTGAGAGAAGACCACCACCGGCATGGGCGGAGTCAAAACATTTGTTACGAATGAAATGATTTATCAGCTTGAGAATAAATAAATAAATAAATAAATAAATAAATAAATAAATAAATAAATAAATAAATAAATAAATAAATAAAAAAAACTATCCATGTTGGTTATTAAGTTCTTTTTTTCCCACAGTGAGAACAGCTCCAATAGACATTCCAAAAAAGGTTTAAAAGAGTTTAAAGAAAAGTGCAGTGGGTTGGGTTTTTATTTTTATTTTTTTTGGCTTGATTATGACCTGGATGGCTGAGAATCTTCACCAGCATGCTCCATGAGGTCAAACAATAGTGTGTAGCTGCAAGCACTCAAAAAAAATGTATTTCAAAATAAACTGTACCGGAGGTGTTAAGGAAAGTGCAAAACAAAAAAATAAAAAATTCTGAGTATTTAACTAGGTCGTCTGAAGCTGAAATTTCCTTCTAAAACATGAGAAAAAAGTGTACATCCTTTTTAGGATACTTTTTTGTTTCCAGGTTAACAATTGTTTCATTGTTAAAGACGTTTATGAACTCATCAGCCAAATTGCTCTCTCTCTCTCTCTCTCTCTCTGTTTCCACCATTTTGTCAATTATACACATTGTTTCTGTTTCATCATTTTTTGCAGCTCTGACCTGTTGGCCTGATAGCAGACATCACTACCACCATCTAGTGCTCCCATGAGAACATTTCACTAATTTCAGTGAAAATAAGATGGTGGGGCCCCTGAAAAAAACCTTTGACCTTTAACCTTTAACAACTGCTTTTGACAATGTAGGTGCAGGAGAGACACTGAAAAAGAAAAATATCCATTTTAATTTAACATCTAAATAGTTAATTTAGAAACCTTAAAAAAGCGCTTTCTAATCGTGCATTTTCTGATTTCCATTTGCAGTACTCAATAAATACAATTTATAATTGCTCTTTAATAATTCAATTACAAATCTAAA